AAGATATCGCATCCTAAAATCACCCTAAAATTTCACCATCTAAATTATTCCTAAAAATTGTAAAAGCCAAAAATAGCCTTCAACAATTACAAATCATCAAGTTTCAACTCAAATTGATGTGTGGGAAATTTTTTTAAGTTCCTCATGCTACAAAACAGTTATCCAATTTTTACTGGAATTTTAAGAGCATTATAAAGAATTTTAATGCAACACAGATTTTTTTAAAAAAGAAAAACTAAAACAAATCTTCCTCCCTCTCCTTAGACCATTTTGGCCCATCCTTTTCCTCTCATCCCTCACCGGCCCACTCCGGCCCAACCGAGCTACGAACCCACCAGCGACCCTCCTCTTTGCTCTTTGGGCCGTCCCTAGCATCGGCCCATCGCGCCCACCAGGCCGAGCCGCCGCTCCCGCAGCCCACGGGGCCCGCTTGTCGAAGGCGTCCCCTACCTCTAGCCGCAAAGTTCCTCTCTCTCCGGTGAACCCTAGCGCCGCCAGCCACCTCGATCCACCTCCTCAAGCGTTTCCCCTTCCAATTGATCGCAAAAATCGGTTTCTTGTGTAGTGGTCATCAATTCCCCCAACATATCCCATTCAATCCCACACTAAATCATCCTCAAGTAATCGACATCTTCGATACGGAGATCCACCGTTGCCGCTGCCGTTTCCCGTCCCGGCGGTCTACCGCGAGCCTGGAGTAGGTGGTGGCGGGTTACGGTGATGCGGCTTGACAGTGGCAGGGCGAGGACGCAGCAATGAGGGGGCAAGGTGGCGGCGATTGGCAGATGGGGCAGGGTGAGGCGGCGCTAGCGATATGGCGAGGAGGCGACTGAGCGAGGATTGAACAAGGGCGGCAATCTCGTGGAGATTGCATGTGCGTGCGGTCGTCGTATGGATGGAAAAGAATGCAATCGGATGAAAGGGAGGGCATGTCGTGGTCGAAACGGTTAGCTAGCAAACGTTCGCTAACTCCTAATCTAGCGAAGGTGTCTGCTGGGTCTTCTATATTTCAATTTCTGTCCTTCTGACTTTCCTTCTTCTTTTTCCCTTACGAGGTGGAAATATTTCCCGTCACATATATCATTCTGCCTTACAAGGTGGAAATATTTCCCGTCACGTATATCATTCTGCAGACAATGAAGGTAAGCTAGATATGACATGCATGTTTCCGTATATAGAATAATTTTGCATGCATATGTAATCATAATTATATTTTTTTATCATATAAATAAAACCGAGCACTTTGTGTATAATTAATAAAATCCGGTTGGTAGTTTTTTTAGTTCTTTTAGAAAGTTTCATAATATAATATTTTTCATGTAGAAAGTTTCCTAATAGAATGATTTTCATGTACAAGTTTCTTGATAGGATATTTTCATGTAGAAAGTTTCTTAATACAATGTTTTCATGTTTATGAGTATATATATTTAATCTTAAAATTTCTAACCTTTTGAATCCCATGCGTAGATTTTTTTTAATTACTGAAGAAAGTTTCCTAATAGAATTTATTTCCTATGTAAAGTTTATGAATATAAACTATTATTTCCGTACAAAGTTATAAGTAGAGATTTTTTAAAAAATATTTCAAGAGGCTTTTATCTAAATGGCGAGTTTAAATTTTTGAAAAGAAATTATTGAATAAAAGAAGCGCTATTAGAGCATCCCAGCAGTTCATCTAAATTTGGTCCTCTATATTCCCATATGGATGGCCATCCAAAAAGATTCATGCTCCATATCTCTTCTTAATCCAGCAAATTACATCCCATATCACATCCTTCTATATTTTATTAATATTTTCTAACTAACCATATATTTGTGTAATTTCTTTTACAAGGGTTATATTTTGAATGACTAAATATATGATTGAAATGAATATATTTATAATCATAGCAAAATAAGTAAAGTATACAGCAAGAACAAAAATTATAACAAAATAAATAATTCTTTTTTTCTCGTTCTTTCCCTTTTTTTTCCTCTTCCTCTTCCTTTCCTCCTCACTGCCTCCTCTCTCTACCTCTCATCCTTTCTTCTTTTCCTCTTCCTCTTCCTTTCCACCGGCAGCAGCTCACGAGCGGAGGCCGTTCTGGAACTCCGGATGGGGGCGAGAGCTCGACCCAGAGCAACGGTTGTGATTTGGCATCCCTCTCTCCTGTTTTAGCGATCAGCTATTTTTGCGTGGACGATGGATCATCTGCTGGAGGCCGATTTTTCACTCCCATCCACTATTTCTCACATAGAGGATTGGATGGAGCATCTGCTGGGGATGCTCTTATCTAATTAGTAAATTAAATACCATGCTAATTACGTGGAGGGGTACTATTTTTTCGGCTGCCATATATGTGTATGAAGCTGAGATTTCCTAGTATTAGTTTGCATACCATATAGTACTAATTACACGCTAATTACGTGATTGATGGCTATATAATTCCTTTTCGATCGGGTGCCACAAACACACGCAGGCATGCAGGCATGCCGCATGCAGCCGATATCTGTCAGAGCGCATTCGCGACAAAGGAACATTCGAACTGAAGGGGTGAGGAAGGTGCGAGCGATCTGGCCCGTTGGATTTCTCCCGGATGAGGAATGAAAGAATGAGTGACGAGTGAAACTATTTGTTGAATTATAGAATAGATGTGAAAAGAAACTTCCAGAATTGACAATTTTCGGTAGAACCTAGCAACGGCAAGAGTCTATTTAGTTTATTATTCTACCAAAATTTGGTAACACTAAACAAAGTTAGAGGTTGGAAGGGCTAGAAAAGTAAACCAGCTCTAAATCAGGATAATATTTATACCACTTTAAAGAAGAAAGTGGTCGGGTGCTTTTTGGAACTATACCTATTTTAACAAAAGGTATATAGTAAAAAATAAATAAATGAGATATGTAAACTTTTGGTTTACCATAAATATAGTCCAGGAAGAAGCTAGTCAGCGGCTAGCTGTTATCGGCCTGTTATCGGCTTGCTTGGATATATATTGAATATATTGACTCGACGAGATTGGAGGTGGTTCCTATTGTCTGGTCTGATCCTCTTTTCATTCTAAAATATAAGTACGTGACTACATAGCTAGTAAACTAGCTACTACTTTATCTATAAGAGACACCATCCACCTATATTTCAAATACAATTTTTTCTTAAACTACTCATTCAATCTACGATCTGATTACACCGTTGTGTTTATAACAATTAAATCTTTACATCAAGATCTCACATGATTATATTTTGATGAAAAATCATAAATTACTTTTATGATATGTCTAAATTACTTGTAGATTTCACTAAGTTACTTCTTAGACATACAAAAGTAAATTCAGTAAAGCTTAAAAATAATTTACATATATTATAGAAGTAACTTATAACAAAAAGAAAGTAACTTTAATTAATACTTTTTTCATTGAACAAATTATCATATATATATAATTATCATATATATAAGTTACTTTTTTAATTTGATTAAAATACTTCCAATACATTCATAATGCTCTAAGGTGATTACTTTTATTATTTATTTTAGTTAATTCCATAATTTGTGCTGATTTTTTTAATTTCTAGATAGAGTCATGTTTTTAACTCTACAATGGATTTACTTCAAATGTGAGATCTTGTTGTAAAGATTTAATTGTTATGAACGTAACGGTGTAATCGGATTATAGATCGGATAAGTAATTTAAAAGAAAATTTCATAAGAAGAAAAAAATACACAACCTAATAGCAAAAATTACTTACATGCATGTCTGTAACGCTACTAGTACTTCTCACGTAATTAGTACTTCTCACGTAATTGTCCGCGTCGCTCGTTAAGTCTAAATCGAGATGCCTCTCGAAATAGATTTTGTGAAAATATAAGGTACAACTATCCTTAACCTAAAGCTTAAGAAATAATTATTATCACCTTCTATTTTAATTGGATTATCCTAATAAATATAATATATGCAAATATTGAGAGTAAAAGACTTAAACAAATGATAATTTAGTGGAGAAAGAAGTACCAATTAATTACATGTGCATGAACACAATCGAAAAAACTGTGTGTTTATATTATGGAACAAGGGAGTATCTTCTTATTCGATGTCGTCCCAAACCTTGTATTTATACTCTCCGATGCTCCCTTTATATATCCGATGCTCCCTTTATATATATAGAAGTAAAACATGTATGGATATGATCTTACGAAGATGGATTCTAATCTCTCGAGTGGACGTCCACCCATTTTTTTTATACCAACTAAATAGCTATGAATTTTTTTAAAAAAGATATAAGATAGATTAATATGTAATATATCACTTCACAAACATACAAGTTCAAATTTAACTTCTACGAGTTGTAGCAAGAATAAAAAATTAGAGCTTGTGACAGAAAATCCCACTACCTATCATTCAAATTTTGGACCATTGGATATGCTTTGAGATTTGTGCAAGCATTTAACAGTTAACCCTACATCTTCTCCCGTTCCCCTCGCTGCCTTGAGCGTTCTATCCCCATCGTGCTACCACCCGATCCACCGCCGTCGCCGCCCACTGCGCTGCCGCTCACCTCGTCGGATGGCCGGAAGGAGTCAACGGCGCCGGCGAGGCCCCCTCCCCTGACGAGCCCCTTCCCCCTCTCTTTTTTCTCAGGGCGGTGACAGCGCGATGCCCCCGCCCCGTCATCTTCCCCGTCTTCGGTGGCTCCCAACCGCCGGATATGCCACCACCGGCCACCGCCTCCTAATCGCACGCTTGCATTGCCCCCGCTGTCGACACCGGCCCACTGCCCTCCTCCATCCCTGTGGCTTCGGCGATGGTGCTGCCGCCTCACCATCTGCCGAAGTCCACCACCCACCGCCGATCATATGCCGTCCATGGACATCTTTCTAAGCCCCAAGAAAACCCCTCTTCCCCCTCCCCCGACCCTTCTCCTAACCTGACTCCAACCCCAAATCTTAATCCTAACCCGTATACTCTCTGTCGGAGTTAGGGTGTCGTCGGTGCCGGAGTAAAAGGGCAGCCTACCGAAGTTGGAGGAGAAAAAACGATACACGAATCTTGGCATGGATCGAATGACATATAGCAACACCGTGAAAAATTCGCCGGTTCCCATTCTCCCCTTCGAATTCGCCGCTTCCCCAGTCTCCCTCCCATCCAAGATCCAACAGGGCCTTGTAGTGGCGTCGCCGCTCCGTCGACGGAAGCTCAGATGAGGCCACCGCCATGGCCTTCTCCTCCCCCGGTCTACGGTCGCCCCACCATCGCCCTCCCTCTCTCGTCCCCGGTCCCAGATGCCGCCATCCTCACCCTTCCTCCCCAATCGCGATCCGTGATGGCCTCGGCGGCGGGGCGTCTTGGGAGGCGGCAGGACGGTCGGATCCGCTCGGCGCCAGAGCATCGCACACGGCTTCCTCGGTGGCGGAGTGGAGGGGAAGCAAAGATATAATGGCCAGCTCCGGTGGCCGACCCTCCTCGCTTTGTGGAGTTTGGCCGACGCTGCTCCTTCCCGCTGTTGTGGCCACTTAGATCTGTGCAGGATTTGCGCATTCGGTGAGTAATCTCTCTCCATTTACCACCCCCTCTATCCCCCAAGGCCGTTACTACTGTACAGCGTGGGAGTATTGTAAATGGCCTAATAAACCCCAATCCATTCCCCTAATGTTGCCAAACGTGCTGTTAGGATGAGTACCCACATAGGTGATCTAGGCAATGTTATAAGGAGATTAATAATATTTCTTAGTATGAATTTGAAAAACTGGGATGTTAGCCTTCGGCTCAATTTGAAATAGATTATTGAGCGGATTATTTACTTTACTATAGGGATGAAATAACTATTTGATAAATAAACTTAACAAATATAAGTGGTTTATAAGAAAGTTTTTTTGACGACATGTAATTTTCGAAGCATGGGGTATATAATCCGTTTCGGTAATCCGGTGAATAATCTGAAAAGAACTAAAAGCCGTGTATGATGAGGTGGGGTTCCTCCAAGCAAGCACCCCCTAATTGCTGGTGTTCTTTTGTAAAGCTGAAACTATGACAAGAGCTTATATTTTGTGACAGGATTTTTTGCTTGCTCATGTTCCTGTGTAAAGCCTACAAATCTAACGAGAGCTTGTTTTATAACAGGATCTTCAATGTTTTGGCAGATGAGCAATACTTATATTTTCTGAATCTTCTGGTTGGTCCCGTCATCAGAGCATTCGGTGGCGGAAGGAAGAATAGAAGGGTTATTAGTATATGGCAGCTAGGCTGGAAATCATCCGGTGAAGCAAACAGCTTGGTGAAGGGATTGATGTTCAAGCTGATGACAACAATACTACTGATCCCATTGTCACTGCTCGTCCTTCATCCTTTGTTGGTTTTATACTGGTGCATCATAGTTCCAGCAACACGCTTGAGTCAACAGGATTATGGTCAGGGTGACGGCGACTCCTCCAAAGCCAACCTGAAGCCAGCAATGATGATCTTCTACTCTCTAGCCCTGGCTCAGGGTACTCTCTACATGCTATGGTTCATTCTCAACGCAGGGAATGCGATGATGGTTAGGGTTGTGGCCAGTAAATGCGATTTTGAAAAGAGTTGGGGTCGGAAGTCGGTTGATCAGTACCTCTCTGATACCAAGTTCAAGTGCCTCAAGGACCCATCATCCATCAAGGACATGAACCTAATCAAGTTTGCAGCAGGTCTACTTGACTCGGACTCCGAGGATGACTACATTACGGGAGCAAGGATGCTTGTTTCCTTCATTCAGAAGCAAAAGCTACCGGTGAAGTTGCTGATCCTCTAGGATCAGGACACAGAAGCTGATCACAATGCTGGGGTGGACAGATCCAGCTGACCGGGAGATCAGGATGCTTGCTGCGATAATCGTGGGGCATGTTGCTAGCAACATCAACCTTTCACAGTTCCCAGGAGCACTGCAATCCATCGGTTCACTACTAGACCCCCGCGATGACTTATCTTTCTATGACCAGGATGATCAACATGACCATGACAAAGGCATGGGGCGATGCCAGCTGCTTGTGCAAGGCCTTTTGGTTATTGAGAGGCTTACTTGTGATCATAACAATTGCATACTAATCTGCAGAGACCATTGTCTGCTCAGCCATATCCGCTACGCAATCAGGTTGAGAAAGAAGGTAACCTTTCCGGACATGTGCCCTGTGTGGCCCGAGATGCTCAAGGGCTCGCTTAGAGCGATGGCCTATTTGATAGCCGGTGTTACTGAAGTAGAACTCGAGACGCTTGAATCTATCTTCAATGAACTCCCACTAGGGATGATCATGGGACACAAACGGTTCCCAGACATAATGATACCAACCATTGCATTGTACGCAAATTTATTATACTACCGGGACACTACATTTCCTAGCGAACACTTCTTTGAAACGATGCTGCCAGTCTTCCTATCTTGTACTGATATTGAACAAGGAGAAGAAATCACGTCAGTATGGACCAAGGTTGGAGTGTTGGCAGGGGCATCACTCGCGAAGCTCTTGCTTAAATCAGAAGACTCAGTTAGTCGAGATG